ATATTTTTTATTAATGGTGATGGCACTTCCCAATGCTCCACTGTGTATTCATATATTAAACCCAACCGCGTAAACCATTATATATGTATATGTAGGTATGCATATGCATGCCTGCCTCCTCCCTCAAATTCCCACGTCAAATTTTTATTTATAGATTTTTTTGTACCGAATTTTATTTGGTATAACAATCGCAAACAAGCATTTACTTCATCTCAAACGAAGCCACGCCAAAAAACTGGTGAACTCGGTTCATTAGTCTAAATGGTAACAGCCGACCTGCTTAAAGGTCAAAGCACGTATGTTAGTTTATATGTACATGTATACAAATAATTATTGCTAGTAAGCACGGCATTTCATTGTATACATACATACATATATTACAAAGACATTGTGGAAAAAATGGAAAACTTGGCAAATTACCCCTTCAAAACTCAACCTATGTTTTCTTACACTTTATATGTGTACATACATATGTACCGATGTATATATAATATATATATCCGTGAAAATTGTTTGTTTTTTTTAAGCCAATTTCTCTGAATTATTAAAGCAAAAACTATTGGAGCCAAGTAGCCACAAACTGGGGCGTTGTTTACAGGTGAATCACATTGCTATGTATTGCAGGGGTTGAATCACCTGCGAAACATTGCAGCTCCCTTCACTTTATTTTGCAATGAATAAATACTTTTCACCATTGGTAATACAAATTGTGTCCATATTCTTGGAACATTTTGTATATTAATGCATTTGCAACTTCAAGGTAAACAACTGTTCCATTAACCACAAATGAACGGAAATCGCTTACAGATACCATTGTTTATATGTTATGTGTTTTTTTGAAATGTCTTCTAATACCTACATACTTGTTGGCACTTAATATACATAAATACATACATATGTGCTTGAATCTGTTCTTAATTGCCTGAGCGTAATTAAGACTATGCTTCCTTATGTTTTGAGATGCATGCTTATTATAATATGTGAATGCATATGAAAGAACATATATGTAGGAAGTCAGATTACAAGTTATACATATAATATTATTGCACAAATAAATTTTGCTATTACAAATAAAGCTGTGTTAAGTGTGTAGGTTTGTATGTGGTTGTTATCAGTAAATTATTTTTGTTGTTAACAGTGCAACAACAGTGCTGTTGATAAACTTTTTAATAATTGCAATCATATATGTATGTATGTTTATATGTTAGTTTTGTACAATATATAGTTAATTACTAAATTTCATTTAGTTCTATGTATAATATATACACATATAACATGCATTTAATGAAAATTTTTGTTTCAGAGCCGAATTCCTGGACAGTGTTATGTATCGTATGGGCGTTTTGGCGACACTGCGTTCTCGAATTCGTGGCGGCGCTGTGATTGGTGTAATGGTCACTGCCTCTCACAATCCAGAACCGGACAATGGTGTCAAGTTAGTTGACCCAAAAGGTGAAATGCTAGAAGCCAGCTGGGAATCCATTGCTACTGATTTGGCTAATGTTGAGGACAGCGAACTCGAAGCACATGTTGCCAAAATTATAAGTGATAATAAAATCGACGTAGGTTCATCATCCAATGTATTTGTCGGTATGGATAATCGCTACCATAGTCCACGACTGCTAAAGGCTGTGGCTGACGGCGTAATTGCGCTGAAGGGAAATGTGCGTGAGTTTGGTATTGTGACGACGCCAATGTTACACTTCTTTGTAGTGGCTGCTAATACTAGAGGTGCTTATGGCCAGCCAACAGAGGAGGGATACTATAGAAAATTGATCACAGCGTTTGAAATATTACGCGGTGACAAATTAGAAAATGGAAATTATCGCAATAAATTGGTATTCGATGGTGCTAATGGTGTAGGTGCACGTAAAATGTTGCAATTTATTAAGCGTATGCATGATTCTTTGCAAGTGGATGTAATTAATAAAGGAGATGGAAAAATTAATGAAAACTGCGGTGCTGATTATGTAAAAGTGAAGCAAGGAGTGCCCATAGGTATGCCAATTGTGGAACCATTTACCCGTTGTGTGAGCGTAGATGGTGATGCTGATCGCGTAGTGTACTTCTTCACCGATGATAAGAACCAATTTAGATTATTGGATGGTGACCGCATCGCTACTTTAGTTGCAGACTATATTATGGATATGGTAAAACGTTGTGGGCTTGATCTGAGTATGGGTTTAGTGCAAACTGCATATGCTAATGGTGGTTCAACGGATTATATTTCCAATACGTTGCAAGTGCCAGTGGCTTGTGTAGCAACTGGTGTTAAGCATCTGCATCATAAAGCGCTGCAATACGATATTGGTGTATATTTTGAGGCTAACGGACATGGCACTGTTATTTTCAGCGAAAATGCTAAGAGTCTGATAAAAGCGGCATCCGAAACCAATGTCGACGCAAAAACACTATTACATGTGATAGATCTCATCAATGAAACCGTGGGTGATGCCATATCGGATATGTTGCTGGTCGAAACAATTTTGAACCAAAAAGGCTGGGACGTTAAAGACTGGCTGGCGACGTACGATGATTTGCCGAATCTCCAATTGAAAATAAAAGTTCAAGATCGTAATGTCATCACAACAACCGATGCAGAACGTGTTTGTGTTACACCAGTAGGCCTGCAAGAAGCCATAGACAAAATGGTAACCAACTACAAACGAGGCCGTGCATTCGTAAGACCATCAGGTACAGAAGATGTGGTGCGTGTTTATGCAGAAGCAGCTACCAAAAACGTAAGTTAAACAAATGCATAATACGAAAAGCATAAAAGTATTGACTTATGAATGCATTAACCAATTTTGTTCGTTTTTATTCTTAGGAAACCGAAAGCCTTGCATATGAAGTGGGAATTCTAGTGCAACAGCTGGCTGGAGGCGTTGGGCCTGAGCTTATTCATCCTGGAAAGATAATAAGCGCTCACATCTAAACGTTTTACATATTTCTCTCTTAAAAAACTATTTCAATCTGAAATCTGCCTTCAAAGCGGACTTTTTAACGATCTTGCTACACAACGATAAAATGTCTAAAATTTACTTACATGTACATGCCTTCCTTAAAATAAGTAGATAGAAGAAATCATTTATTTCATTTATTTTCTACATAACGTTTATTATTATGTTACATGTTATTATTGTTTTATTTTTTTTTTTGTACTGCAGATATGCATTTAAATTTGCTATGTAATGTGAAACTGCCTTGAATTAAAAAAAAAATTATATGTAAAAGTTATGCATATGCATTTATGTATGCAGGAATTAAGTTTTAGCTATGTACTGAATATACATATACACATATGTTCAAGAAGTGATGTGCTTATTTCATTTTGTTTTTAGTCAGATACTGTGTTCGCCTTCAATAGGAAAATGCGCGAAATCGTTTGTGAATTGAATTTATTTTAAGTATTAAAATGAGTTAATAAAACAACGAAACATATTCGTATACCAAAATGTTCTATGGCATATCTCATTTAATTGTGGTACTCTTGAAAACAGTAATTAAATAATGTTAGTTGAAAAATTTAGTCTTAAATATTAATCGTTGCAAAACGACACGAAAGCATTGAAACGTTTGGTCAAACCAGCACCGGCAGTTAAAATAATCCGAAACGACCATTTCCACAGTAGTCGAGTTTCTCGAAAAGACGTGGATTTATGTACATACATATATCAGAACTAGGACCCATCAATTCATCAATAATTGCGCAAATTATTTGAGAAAAAATGAATGCCGCTACAATTACAAAGGTCATAAAGGATTAACAGATAAATATTTTTTTGTTTTCAAGAATCAATTCCTGTTAATCGGCACTCGACTAATTATTTTGGTGTAGGCTTATCAAATAACATTTCCGTTCCCGCAATTTACTTCCGGTTAAGAGCTGCCAGCTCAAAATTGGGAAATATTTTGTACCGCGGCAACAACAACTTTTGACAACCCTGTATTTTTGGTGCAGAGACACAAAAAAGATGTGCAAATCAAATCAAAAAATGTTAGTACTCTTTATCGACTACAGAGCCAGCCAGGTAACGGTTATTACCCAACAACGCTACCAGAGATTTCTATTAAAGTTTCTATGAGTTTTTTAAAGCGCAAGTGACAATTCTTACCGAAACTCTTGTGTTCCTGTTCATTCCTGCCATACTCAAACGCTTTATGAGTTCTACGGAGTGTATATGTTAGTTTTCGCGGAAGTTCTTTCATTGCATTGGAGTTTCTGTAGCTGTGACTTGCTGGGTAGTTATGCTTGAAACTGTTTTCCTTTTTAAGTTAGACTGCGTTCACAAGCGAAGACTTTTGTAGCCCAAAACCCGTAGTTTGCTGATAAGGATCCAATAAGGAAATACGTAAGGTGCCGAGTTACTCATGATCGGGCAACATGCTATGTGCTCTTGTTCGTAACAGATTACTGCTCCGCAATTCTACGTTCCTTTTCAATCGGAAATTTATTTGATGGTTAGAATTGCTCTCGGTTTCAAATTAATATTTACATATGTTCGAAAATCTAAATTTTATTACCTATTTCTATATGAAATAATAACAAAAAAAGTTGAATAAGGGAAAAATTTAACTAATAAAATGATATATGAAGATGAAATGTAAAAGAGTTTGAGTTTAATTTAACAGCGATGTGAAGAAATCATAAGATATGTCACATACATACGTATATTTTACGAAATAGTTTATGAAATACTTGTTAAAATTGCATCCTTTCCTTAGAAGTATATTTATTACTTAAGCATTAAATTTGACAAGCATTTTAACTAATATTACTATTTAATGTACATCCATTAAGTTTTTTGTCAAAGTATACTCTTAATCACTTCTAATATTAAACCCTTAATATATTTTGAAAATTCCTGTTCTCCATATTGACACAAGCACTCATAAAAAAAAGTATAATATAAAATTGATTAAAAGCGCATTATATTCTGATTGATTGATTTTTTTATACCCGTGCTTAATACTTTTGTAATTATTAAAACATTCGAACCGTTTGATATTTTGATTTTTTTATATCCGTACTTGATACTTTTGTAATTATTAAAACATTCGAACCGTTTATGAATACTGCTATTGTTGAGAAAAGTATCGATTAAATAATGTCTGCATTGAAGTCGATAAATAACAAATTAACATCGATGTAAACTGTTAACGATTAGTACATCGTTTGCCTTGTCAGCTAAACGGGGATAGGATTGTCTGATGCAATACTATATTCGAGTTTCTTATATTTATAGAAAGTAGTTTAAAAGAAATTTCTATTAACGTTAAAAAGACAAACAATTAATTTAATTGAAATTACAATAATGGATGCTGAAGACGTAAGTTGTATAGCTCTGTGAGAGCAATAAAAGTGATAGTGATTTGATTGTGAAACGTGTAAGTTTCTACTAGTATCACACATTTTTGTTGCATTGAAGTTATGTGCACACCGAATTTGTGATTGTTAAACAAATTTTATTTTTCAATTTAGGGGTTTGATCCAACATTGTTAAAAAAGAAAAAAAAGAAGAAGACATTCGTCCTTGACGCCGCACTTGGTATTGATGATAGTAGCAAACAAGAGGAGCCTAAAGAAGACGCACCACTGGATAGCCGGGCAGCTGATTTAGAAGATAACTTGGATTTAGAAAGTTTTGGCAAGAAAAAGAAAAAGAAGACGAAGACTTTTAATTTAGATGAACTCGAAGGTGCTTTGCCATCCGCAAAAGGAGAAGATGAAGAAATCAATGCTGCAGTGCTGGAAGAACCAGAAGAAGACGATATCAACCTAGATATGGACTTTTCAACGGCCAAAAAGAGAAAGAAGACTAAAAAGAAGGATTTGGACGAACTATTTGCGGATAAAGATGAAGAAGATAAAAGCAAGGATAAAGAAAATGGTAAGCATTTCAATTGTATTTCGTATAGTATAACAATTTAATTCTTGTAATTTTTTCTACACAGTTGACGATAACAATTCATCATGGGCCGGTTCAAATCGCGATTATACATATGATGAATTATTAAAACGCGTTTTCGAAATCATCCTCGATAAAAATCCAGATATGGCAGCTGGGCGTAAACCAAAATTTGTCATGAGACCTCCACAAGTATTGCGTGTCGGCACAAAGAAGACTTCATTTGCAAACTTTATGGACATTGCAAAAACACTTCATCGTTTGCCAAAACACTTGTTAGACTTTTTATTAGCTGAATTGGGTACCAGCGGTTCAATGGACGGAAACAAACAGCTTATTATAAAAGGTCGTTTCCAACCTAAACAGATAGAAAATGTATTACGTCGTTATATCAAAGAGTACGTGACCTGCCACACCTGCCGTTCTCCCGAAACTATACTGCAAAAAGATACCAGATTGTTCTTCCTGCAATGCGAATCTTGCGGATCTAGATGTTCCGTAGCAAGCATTAAATCTGGTTTCCAAGCTGTTACTGGCAAGCGTGCTGCAATTCGTGCGAAAACTACATAAAATATTTGTTTTTTGGCGCGACTTTAGGATTTCTATTGTTCTTTTTCTAGTGGGGATTTATTTAGATGTAACAAATTCGATATATGACAAAGAACAAGGAAAATAATAGAACAAGTTGAAATAAGCGAGGATTAATATTTTTTATTTAAATTTTAAACATACAAACCATTAAATAATAAAAATAGTAAACCGATCATTAAAAACAAACCATTAAACTAAACTTTTTATGTCTTTCATTTTTTATATACCTTCATATACCACTCAATTATTTCATCTTTGTAGGCCAATTCCATAGCTCTATCGGAACCGATGTCGATATCCCAACTAAAGCCGAAAATGCCCACTTGGCCACGAAACAAATCTGGCTTTCCAAAAACAAATATTTTGTTGCCCACGGAAATTCGCGATGGGTTAAGTTGCTGTCTAGTTTTGTTCAGCAGATTCTCTAATGCAGTTAAAATATCTTTATGCTCTTTAACCGTCTTTCTTGTAAATACTTCATTTCGCAAGCGTTGCAATTCGAAAATATCGGCTTCTTTTTTCGGAATAAACAAAGGCAAAATTGAGGTGTTGTCATCAATTTCGAACTTATAGTGGCCATTCTTTTTACTCGGAATCACTTTACCCACTATCCGTGCATGTGCCATAATTGTACGAAAAAGTATTTTACCATCAAATGCTTGAAAAACTGTTGGTGTAGAGGCGGTGCAATGTTTCACGTCCAACAAAAGCAGTGGCACACATTCCAAAGGCTTATTTTCATTATCAGACGATTTTAAACTGCATTTCGCAGAGAATTGCACTTCCAAACAATCACTACCACTCATCTTAACATCTATTGCTGTTTATAGTTTCATATTTGATGATGTATTTGGCGCTTTATTTTGTCCCTTAGAATCATATATGTCCCAATAAACCATCGAATAAACAAACACATTTAGGATATTACAATTTCATTACAATGTATTTTGACATCGACGATATAATATAGAGTCATAACTTTTTTACGTGTATATAAACTTAAATTTATTGAACATGCAATTGAAAAATCATAAGTACCTTATTCTTAATTAATGTATAAATGTTATTTTATGTAATTTCACAATCTGTTATAATAATTCTATATATAAATTTTGCGACTGGCAATACCGTATCATTTCACTTCGTTTTTCAGATTCGTGTGTGTCAAAATAAATGAAAACTACCTTTGTGAAACGAAATTAAAATAAACATTTTTGTTGATTAAATATTAATTACATAGAAAGTAAGAAATTCAAATTAATCCAATTTTCTATAAAGCAAAAACCTGTACGAAAAATAAGAAGACGCAGGAAACAAAGCGTGGCATTAAGACTTTTATTAGAAAATTGCGGTGGAAATAAAATTTGCCGAAGTTATATTCGGCAGCTACATCAATACATTCACACAAACGACTTTTTGTCTTTGTTTACACTCTTTCTGAATTGTGAAATTGCTGGTCGGGATATTGCACTTTGTCAAAGTCTTCCAAAGCACTGGTAACCACAGTCAATAAACAGATTGACAAATTGAAATAGGTCGAATCGATTTGTTATGTCTGGCGGAGCACTGATAACACTAAAGGAAGATGCAACTGATGGGGGTGGTAATACCAATGGTGGAGGGGGCAATTCGAATATTGCAAATAATCAACAAACATCCGGATCCGGAAACGTAAACGCTACTCCAAGTAACAACGCAAACGGTAGTAATGGTGGTCCTCCGGAAGGAACACGTCAAAATAGCTTACAACGCATTCAATTGCGAAAACAAAAAGTTTTTAACTTACCTGTTCCCCAGAAATTGGCTAAATTGTCTATGTACTCAGCTTGCCAGAGCGAATGCTGCCGTTGTACCGGATGGAAAACTCCTCAGGAAAATCGTCATCGGGATGTAGAATCATCAACATATTGCCCCGAATTCACCGAAGAATGTCGCAGCTGTAGACACTCGCTACAAAGTCATATTGCACATCTGGATGGCATATCCGGTTCCCAAATGAATGATCTACTGGGTGCTATTATAGATATGGAAAATTTGTTCATGTCAATGCAACGTGTAGAAGATGAGGATACTAAGAAAGTTTATCTGTATCTATTTCGCCTCCTGCGTCAATGTGTCCTTACTCGTCAACAAGCTGTTATTCGTGGACCACTTGGCGATCCGCCATTCGAGTCGCCATGCATTGCAAAAGCCGTTTCATCATTCGTATTTTACAAGTACAACCATTTAAGTCAAACTGAATTGCAAACAATGACTGAGGTGGCAAAAACATTTCTTAATTTTTTAAATCATTACAACTTTGAACCGCCATCGATGCGACGCTCTGGACTAACGCATGAAGATGCGTCTACGTATAAAATTAACTATACGCGGTGGCTAGTGTTTTGTCATGTACCCGCCTTTTGCAATTCATTGCGACATTTTGAAACGTCGCTAGTATTTGGACGCACCTTATTGCGTACCATATTTAAGTATATGGCTGAGCAGCTAAGAAATAAATGCTCTTCCGAACGAGACCGCTTTCCAGCTGATAAGCGCTCAATTATAACCCAAATGCCCAAATTTTTGGATGCGCTAAAAGCTGAACTACTAAAAGATGACTCGCCGATTTGGGATCAAGGTTTTCGTCCATCAACAGCTTTTATAATACAACAACGTAAACGTCAGCAAGAAGCAAGTACTGGAGCGGCAACTGGAAGTAAGCGATCCGGCACTGGCGAGCCCGCACATAAAAGAGCCAAAAAGGAAAGCACTGATCGTGTTAGTGGGTAAGTTCTTGGTGGCATGTTCGTAACAGAGAATATATGTATATGTACATATACCATATATATAAATCTATAAGTAATTTTTGAAACTGTGACTTGCAGGTGGTAAACCGAGGAAATAACAGAAAATAAGTTTAAGTGTTTTATTGTACACATATGTATGTTTTTTTTTGTTTTTTTTTTCAAGAAAGACTGTGAGCACTAAGCGTGCATGTGTAATTTTCTATTTCACAATACTCGATTAACAGATGTATATAAATTAAGTACGTATAAGCATACACAAAAAAAACGATAAAGGATTTTTAGACTTCAATAAAAAGTAGCTGTCAAGTCAATGGTAAAAGTAAATGCAGTAAATGTGTTTTCTTTATGCATATTTTATGTGCTCAATATGAATCACGATACAATGGGCTGATTGCGACCGCTCGTGCACGCCCGTAAAGTAAGCTGCTTTGTTGACAACTGGAAAAGAAAATGTTTATAGTGCCACAAAATAGTCGGCAACCAATGAAATTGCTTATTTTTTTTTTTTGCCGACACGAATACTTTGTCATCGTACGAACTATTATGTTATTTCGTTTCATATATTAAGTATTTTTTTTGTTTTGTGATAATCAAGTTCGATTGGCGGTACTGTGCGAAATGCAGAAAGTTGGCACACAATTTATAACGAAAAATTTCAAAACATGCTTTTAGGCGAACTTTTCATGCAATAATTTAAATTTAATTTTTTGTTTTTAACTTAAAACTTTTAAATTTGGGTCATTCGCATATTGTATAATATAAAATCTTTTTACAGTGGTTAGTTTTGAATAGAACTATAAAAATGTAGCATAAATTACATTCTCTATCTAATATATCTATTGGAAATCTACATTTCAGTGATTGTCAGTATGAGGACCTTTCTGATGAAACCGTTGTGCGTGCTCTGAAAGCTATTTCCGAATCTAAGGCTATAAATAAATCAGAAATCTTATTTCCGGTCAATGTCTCCCGCGATGAAAATGTTAAAGCAGAAGAACAACAACGAGCTATTGAGTTCCACGTAGTCGGAAATTCCCTAACAAAGCAAGTGGATAAACAGACAATATTTTGGCTTATTGGGCTGCAAGCAGTATTTGCCTATCAACTGCCCGAAATGCCACGTGAATACATAAGTCAGCTAGTGTTTGACACAAAACATAAAACACTGGCACTTATAAAAGAAAATCAACCCATTGGTGGCATATGCTTTCGTCCTTTCTCTAGTCAGGGTTTCACCGAAATAGTATTTTGCGCCGTCACCATGTCCGAACAAGTTAAGGGATATGGTACACATTTAATGAATCATTTAAAGGACTACAGCATCAAACATGGCATAAGACATTTACTGACCTATGCTGACTGTGATGCTATTGGTTATTTTAAAAAGCAAGGCTTCTCCAAGGATATTAAATTAGCTCGACCAGTCTATGCCGGTTTCATAAAAGAATATGATGGTGCTACGCTAATGCATTGTGAATTACACCCAAGCATTGTGAACACACAATTTATTTCTGGTAATTTAAAAAGTCTTTAACTTCCACTTTAATAATTATTGAAATATATATTTTTGCTCCACAAAATAGTTATAAGAAAGCAGAGCGAAATTCTGAAAGAATTAATAGCACAACGCCACAATGAGGTGCAAAAAGTGCGTCCTGGTTTAACATGCTTCAAGGAGGGATTACGTTCCATACCAGTTGAATCGATACCCGGATTACGTGAGATCGGTTGGAAACCACAAATGCGTGCACAACGCACTTCACGCCCGCTGGAAGAGTCTTCCGATCCAGAAAAATTAGCTGCATCCTTCACTGCTGTACTTCAGTCGGTGCGCCAGCATCAAGCCGCCTGGCCGTTCCTACGTCCAGTACCAGCTGCTGAAGTACCCGACTATTACGATCACATTAAATATCCGATGGACCTGAAAACTATGGGTGAACGCCTTAAGCAAGGATATTATGTGACACGTCGGCTCTTTATGGCCGATATGGCGCGTATTTTCTCAAATTGCCGTTTCTACAATTCACCGGAAACTGAATATTATCGTTGCGCTAACTCTTTGGAACGTTACTTTCAGACCAAGATGCGGGAGTTGGGTCTATGGGACAAATGATGTTGCGCCCTTAATGCCGCCGTTGATATGCTTAGCGAACACGAACGCGTGGCGGATGAACATAATGTAAGCAATCCGGCGACAACATCTTCAGATAATATGAATATACTACAGGGCGATAATAACGGTAGTGGTGGCGTAGATGGCGACACTAATATTGTGTTGACAGTTAACTTGGGTGTGGTTTCCGCACTACCCGAGGATATATTTAAAAATTAGATTTTAGTGTATGCTTCAGCTTGAAAAAAAAAGTATATAATAATAACACAGTAAATATATAATTTGAATTTAAAATCGTACATATGTTTAATCCGTACTCAATATGTATATAAAAATCGCAACAAATAACATTTAAAATTAGTTTATCATATATAAAAATATAAAAATTAAAATTGAGAATTCTAAATATTATACATTTGCGGAAAGCAAAAACGAATATTCGTTTGGAGTAAAAGACCACACAATATATAATTTATGTACTATACATACTATGTACTCCCAATATCTATATAAGTTCCAATAAAACGCTATAAAAAAATCGTTCAACAACTTATGTTTTTCTTCAACGAAGGAAAATATATTGTGATTTAGCATAATTTCTTTAATGCATACAGTAATTGTGATTAATATAATCAGTAGTAATTTTAGTAGTGTACATTTTTATACAATAATACTGCAAATACATACATACATACATACATACATATCTTGTATTAGCAAAAAGCCATTTGACAACTATTGTGTCAAAGCCTCGTGCAGCAATTGCATATTCGTTTCCACTTTACCTATATGTACATATGTACATACATATATACAGCGTAATATATAACAATACGTACGCTATACGGAATGTAACATACAGTTAGCAGCTGAAAATAACCAAGCAACGATTCGATTATTGCAAATATTTTTTGGATGTTTGTTGTTGTTGCCTTTACTTCCACTTATGATGTCATATTATCACATGATAGTATAATTTTAAACGTCTTAAGTTCATAAATACATACATCCATATACATATGTATATATGTAGATTGGCCTAACTCTTAAGCATACATACATACCTAAATGAGTGATTTTTAAATGATTGCAGTCATTTAATTCAACCTGGTTTTTTTTTGAGATTATTATAATTTTCGTATTTGGCTTTTCTTCATTATTTCAAAATTATTGTTGTGCTTAAAAATCTAGACATAAACAAAATATTAGAATTTTTTTGAGAAAAACATTTTTTAAATTTTTTTACTATTCATACACATATGTATGTAAATCGTTTACAATATTTTAGACATCGAGAAAGTATGAAAAACTCCATTCGTAATATAATGAATTGTATTTATTATTACAAATGTATGTACATATGCTTTTTTTGAATTAATTTTCTCATTTCAAAGTTCTAACAAGAAGCAAATTTAATATGAATAATTTTTAGTATTTTATTTTTTACATACACAAAAGCATGCCTAATTGTGTTTGACACTTATGTAATAATTTTCATTTAATCTAAAGTGTATACGTTTTCCATAAAGGTTAGTTGGGTCTATATATCTATTAAATATATTGGTTTTTAATCGTTTTCCGACAATGCCAAATACAGCGTATCTACAATTGATTTTATACATACATACATGCTATTCAGTGGGATATTTCTTGATCGTTTACAGACTCTTGATTTACTTCAATTTCTTCATGACTTTTGTTTTTGCTTTGTTAATCTATTTTTATCATTATAAGAAATTTAATATTATATTTGAGTTGCTCACTTGTTTGCTTAGCTTCATGGAAACATTGTTATTTAGTAATGTACACAGAGTAATCCCTAAATTTAATGGCTGCACTTGTTTAATTAATACAAGCCGCTGTAGTTAAATGTATCTACTTTTTGTAAAAATAAAATAAAAAAAGGCTGTGCCAATATTTGCTCATTGAATTGAGTTGTCGGTTGTTTAATTTTTTTTTTCAGCAAAATTATTTTAAATAATAATAAACAATTCTTCAGTTAATTATGTAATAATGTAAAAATGGCATATGCCAATTTGAAAATCAATATTGTTGTACAACATTACAACTTGCCAACAAAAATATTTCTGCTGTTTTTTGTTTAACTAATTAAGTTTATTTTTGTTAAACATTCATAAATATTTCATTTATTTAATTTGATTATATTTTCTTTAATTACATTATAACCAAAATCAAGTTATTATTTTTTAACTGTGGCAAATTTAAGCTATCCCTATAATTATGAATTACTTACTGAACAAAATGAAACACATGTTTGGTATAAATAATAAAAATTAAAAAAGTACAGTTGTGGAAAATATTAAGCACTGAAAAAATAACATATAATCGCACAGCCCCAAAAATAAATAGGTAAAAAAAACAATATTTTTCTTATAAATATATCAAGCGCTTTAGTTTATGAACATGTGACATCTATCTCATTATTGTGTTTTTATTCACTTTTTTTAGAATTCAGTTAGTATTTGTTGTGTAAAACTGTTGCAAGCATTGTTTCATATTCTTTGAAATGATTGTCTTGTGTATTCTACTATCGACTGTGACTATGGTATAAAATGTTTCTGTCTGAGCAACATAAACGAGTGTGATTCTAATTTGAAAGTAACACGCTTAATCCGTTAAGCCTTAAGTTGTAGTAAATTTTCGGCCTTTCCAGCAATATGCCGAAGCTATATAACTTTACTGTTTTAAATAAATTTATAAAAGACATCAGCATATTTGAACGATTACAAGGATTAGTAATATTATCTAGATGATTTTTACTAGCTGACTACCAGACTTTTTGTATTGTCAGAAAACATTGCAATAAGTAATTTTGAGGAATGCTATCAAGTTGACAGCCTTTGGTCGGATAAAAAGCCAGCTCCAACTTTGGTGGAAACGGGCTTTAATGCTTTTCTCTACAATTAATGTACGTTTTCTGAAAGGTGTAATAACATTAATGTAAGTTTATCACTGTGGGAAGTACACATGCATTATGAGAAAACTACATTTTGAAAATTTGAAAAGAAAGGCCAACAGAGTTTTTGACTTTGAGCAATTTCAACCCGAACTTGTGCTAATTGTAGCTCAATTATTCAATCAGTTTAAATTGAAAGTAAATAGCTTGTTTACGTTGGATCCGTTTTTAAGGCAAACACTGAAACTTCAGGGGGTATTTGCAAAAAAAGAAAAGAAGAAAAACGGAAACCCTAATTATTATGCATTAATATATACTTTTCTACTATATTTTTGTAACTATATTCACAAAAGATAAAATTAACTCTTTGCAATGGTTTGATCAGTTTGTATGTGTAGTACAAATGCGTAAGTGGATATTAACTTTATTCATATATGTATGTGTATATATATCAAAGAGAGCACATCAATTATCGTTTTAACGGTATGTACGTTCAAACTAATAAATACATATAAATATATATGTAATTTAAACACTAATTGTTATTTATGTTTTTATATTCTTTAATAGTTTTTAGGTGATTTTCGAAAATTTCAATATCGATAACTATTCGGTTGCATTTATTTGTTGTTGAAGAAAAACACACACAATTATGTTATGTAAATATGACAATAGAAATGGCGGCTACACACTGACAGACATACATACATATGTAAATATATTTGAAATGTAATTTTTTTTATATAATTATGCAGAGGGTTTTTTTCACTTTTTATTTATATCATTTTGTTTTTATTTCCAATTGTTGGTGGTTGGTGGTTGTTGGGTGCCACCGCCGCGAAAATTATCATACCCTTACATCCATATGTATTTCGTTCACTTACAATTATAAATACTCGTATATTAAATTTCAATAAATTCTCCCAAGCTTTTTGTTATAATAGCTTATGTTAACTCTAAATTTCACATCACAAGTTGAAATTTTTTCCAATTTTATTCTAATATTTATGTTAGTTATTTACGTTACATAACGCAAGTCAGTTTTTTTTTTTTTATAATTTACACATATTTAAATTTTATGCAATTTGTTTATTTTTGTTTTCATGCACACTTACTACAAACTTAACATCTAAACTATTGCAATCACATATTTTGAAAAATGTGATTTGTTAACAATATTTTCGAGGTTTTGTTCATATTTATCAACAACTGTTGATAACTGTTATTAATTCAGTTGTCTTATGAGTGTGCAATTTAAATAATAACTTAAGACCATATAAATTTTTCAACACAACACCGCAGTCTGCAGGAATATAGAAAAGGCACAGAAACATTGATAGCTAGAAGGACAACTCAAAAACATTCGGTCAAATTTACTCCCTTAACAGCAAGCATACACCCTGAGCGAACTTTGTTTGTTTTTGGGTTGTATAAGATTAAAAGAACTTCAAATAGATTTTTCAAATTAAAAAATCGAATTTAAATATTATGCACAATTGCCAATAGCTACTAATTCTCTCCAAGTATCTTTGTTTTTGAAAACGAAGTAGGAATTCATTAAAGACTTTCATACATTCAGGCCACCATAAATTTACGCTCCCTCAATGTGGTTTTGTTGTTGTAGAAAGAAATAGTGTAGAGCAGTTTTGCTGGAATAAAATCTTTGGAGAATAAAAAAAAACATGAGGATTTCGATCTAAATAAGTGCTGATGTCTCTACCTTCGCCCTTACAAGTCAAAGAAGCTTAATCTTTTAGAAAACTAAAATAATTGCATGTGAATTGGAAAAAAAACTAATTAATCGATCGTAAGTTTGTTCGAAATCGAACGCAGAGAAGCCAAATATCGCCAAAAAACCTACACAGCATCCAGATTGCTAGAAATATTTTTGTAATATGTATACTAAATATGTAAGAAGTAAAAACATACGAAAACGTTTAATAATGCTGATTAAGAAAATAAAAATAAATTAATTATGTTTTATGCTTCCTTTTGGTTTTTATTTGATAACAGATATGAATTTTTATGTAAACAGAAAAGTTAGTTATGTAATTTTTGTAGTAAAATTTTTGATTATTGCACATTTCAAGTCTTAAGGGACAAATTTAGCATTTTGCTGTACCAAATTGTTTAACAATCAAATTTGAAATTATCAAAATTAGATGTTTATCGCCAATCATTAAATAAAGGCGTCGTATTTTCGTTTAATTCGAATTGTTTGCAGTATATATTTTCTTTTTTTTGTTGTTAAATTATGCAATACATTTTTTATGTTTTTTGTACATATAAAAAAAAAAAACTAAAGTAATACATACATATGTTGGTAGACTTGATTGTTATACATATTTCTAAAATAAATTTTTTTGTTAGATCGTAAAACAAAAACATACATATCGTATGCTTTAAAACATATTTATGAAAAATATTTATAAAATAGTTCAGAGTGTTTTTCTTAACATCAATTGTATTGAATTTTGAAATACCATATTTCTTTTACAAAAAAAAATGCACTTTTAGTGTCTTAACCTTGAACAGCTAACGTACAATTAAAGAATTCCGCAGCGTTGATAAAACTATTTTATTTTCTATGAATTGCAGTACAGATAGAAATGCACAGTTTGAAAATGTTCAATGCATTTCCATTTGTAATTATTTATTATTGTGTTGTTTTGATTTGTTCTGTGTTGTATTGTATGTTTTCAACTATTATTTACATTGTATTTCTTTATAAATTACTAAAGTCATTTACATTTCCCTTGACCTTGTTGTAGATTTGTTCTTCTCAACAATCATTCAGTATCTTGTATATTTAAATATAAATTTGTGTATGTAAATGTTTTTTTGTTTTTTCATTGTATATTTAAAACAATAAGTTAAGTGTTTTTAATGCTTTAAATCATATTTACTTTTTTATTTCTTTATGAACCCATTGGGTTTAAGTTATATCTACACCACACTGCACGTGCGCCGTACGCAGAAAAAAAAACAAAGCATGCAAACTTAAGGCGAAGTGGAACATCTTTTAAAATTTTATTATTACTAGCAACAAGTTGCTATAAAATATATATACTATTGTTGTTTATTGTGAAACAAACTTCTGTAAATGTGAAAAAGTGTATTTATTGATATTAAGTACAAATAATATTTTGTTATATTTTTTACATTATAGTAAATGTGATTGTTATTTTTTAATTAAAAAAAGTAATCAAGGTTATGTTCTAATGTGTGAGAATGGGTACTTTTACACATTAATATAGTTTTACAAAACTAAATATAATTTACAAATTAAGCAAAATTTCACCTTCTTTTTTAAAATATTCTTAGGGTTGTATAAAAAAAACGCATACGGCAGCACATTGTGCGATAAAACAGCCTGTGGAATAAAACTTGAATTTCTAGTGCTTTGATTTCAATTCAATCTTGGTGTTTTTGTTAAGTGTACATATACATACATACGTGTATGTATGCACAAAACTCATGAATATCAGTTTCATTAAATTAATCAATAGATTTACTATCGACTATTTAGTAAGCAATATGCGTTAGCATTAATGGTTTTCACCACTTATTTGTTTGCACTCATCTCTTTTAACTATGCATTATTTTATTATAATATACTAAAATATATATTATATTAAATACTACATTCACAATACACTTGTTGATTTTTTATAAAAAAAAAAGTTAAAAATAACGAAAATCAAAGAAACTACTTTGAAGGGCCTCAAGTGTTGATCCCAATTGAGTAATAATTAATTTCTTGTATCTTGAATACACATGTAGTTTAAATTATTAAATTATGTACAACGATTCGTTATTAGCAATAAAAGGTGCACATTTAAACATATACGGATTTATACATACATATGCAAATTTAATGCGGCTGTTTGCTAAAATAACGATTTATCAATTGAATACTTAGTTTCAAAGTTGATGTTGACATTTTATTTTGTTGAACTCAACACGCAATATAGTATATAAACAACAAAATTTAACTGGAAATTTTAGCATTTATAATATGTTTACATTCATATGTATGTATGTACATTTGCAGCTGTCGCACTGTAGAGCTTTGAGCTTAGTTATTACTATGGGTAAATCCATGTAAAAAAATTAACATAATTGTTTGTGACGGTGTACACTTATTATATTTCGCGAAATTTAGTAAACTACACATACATGCTTATAGGTTATAGATAATTTTTCTTATAAAAATTCTTCTAAGTAAGTATATTTCAATTTCTAATATTTTCTTTAACATGTTTTCATTTTCCATTTTGTTGCAAATACAAATATATGAACGCACAAATAACACGTTAAAGTTGGCGCGATTCTACACAAATGTACATACATATTTAGGTTGATAATGAAGTTCAACAAGAACTATTATAAAATGAAGTAAAATATTTTATGTTTTGTTTTGAGTTTACAGTATTCTAACCCAAAAATATATTAATGTCTAGCAAGTGCAAATAAGCAACAATCTCAAGCAGTTTCATAAATCATATTTAAAAAAAAATTTTGAATTAAAACTTTTACTTCTTTATATCATGAAAAATACATCCATATCTTCTGATTTTTTGCTTAGTTGAAAACCAAAATAAAATTTAAATTAAAAAGAAAAAAATCACAAAAACAAAGCACTTTTAGACCGTTTGTATGTTGTGGTCTTACATTGTCATCTGGTTAATAGAAATCTGGTAACCTCATCAACTTTGAACTAACTATTGATTAAATTTTGGAAATAGTAACAAAGATCAGTATATTTTTTAACATGGTCAATAACATTAGTTAGAATTTTAATCAATCAATTATGTTTTTTGAGTGATTTTCACACGACTTTTAATATATAATATTAAATGTTTGTGTATACACAAATACATGAACATATTGTATGCTTTAATCCAAACGGCTTGTTTAATTCACACAAGGAGAAATATAAGCTTGCATAATAGCAAATTGTATTTATGTTCATGTTATTTATATTTAATTTGAGTTATATTACAACTACATAGTTTATTTCATTTTCTACATACATATTTATAATAATAAATAGGAGCAATCTTTAAACGCCTACGAATAGGTAACAATTACAAATACAATTAGAATCAGAATCATAATCGAACTAGCAATAAACAGAATTCTAAACGCACAGGACTATTAACGAATGATAAAAGCAATGTAAAACAAACAACATCGTTTTGCTCATGCATTTGTCGATATTTATCAAATATAGTACATATACATACATAATCAGTTTATATATACATATCGTTTTTTTATTATTATTTTTCGTTTGTTATGTATAAATTTTCGATTTCATAATCATTTATCAGACAAAAAGGTAATTATTTAAAAACATCAATTTCATCAAAAAATTATCATTGTCATATTATGATCTCAGCTTACATCGCAAAATAGCGTAATTTAAATTTCTTTAAGAAATATATAATATATAGTAGATATATGCTTGTATATAATAATTTTAAATTTAATTATATTAAGTGTACTCTTTGTTATAATATTGTGTTTTATGTGTATGTTAATTTGCCCAGAGGAAAATAAGTTCACTTCAGCGAAGACGCTGTTCTGTATATTTATGTATTTTAGTTAATAGTGACGTTTTCTATGTCAGTCAGAAGTAAAAGCAATGGGCCAAGCACTAATGCGCTGTCGCATAAATATTACTTTGTTAATTTTGTTATTTATTTATTTATATACTTCCTGATGGGCATTTTATTTATGTATATGTAAAAAGAAGAGTAGAGTAGTGTGGCTGCATAAAGCGACATCATGCGATTAGTGATTGCATTTATACAAAAATATTATATATTATTTTTGAGTTTGTTCTCATTAAATGTTTATAAAATATAGTTTCATATTGATCACGTCTTCAGAATTGTTAGTATCGCTATTCATTTTCATAATCGCTTGTAAGAATATCTAATACAAAAAATTTTATATTTATAATTAATAATTAGTCGTTTTTCGCGCATTACATTTCTATACACGCTTTCTACACGATATACACAAATAGGCTCACATCTAATTATTGCAATTTGCAATTAATTCGAAGAAGAGCCGTCTTCTATCTACTTTTCTAAACTATACAGAACACAGAAAGTTTCCAACGCAAGAAATTCGCTAAAAAAAAGAAATACACTTACAATGTCGTGACATCAGCAGTGGGTTATTTGGCCCTCGCAATTTGTGATAATTGTTTGTTATTTTTCAAAAACACATAAGTATCTAAATTGTATTATTTTTGTTACTATACACCTTCATTGAAAAGGATCAGTGTCTGTGAATGTTTTACGTTGCTCAGCTTAGTAATATTTGACCGATGATTATTATCCACTTCGTATAATTTTGCAAAACTATTGCATATAAATTATGGAAACAATTTATGATCACATTTGTTCATTTTTGTTTTTCTTTTTTAAAGAGCCTCCATTTGCTTCAGTTGTTCCGTTTTCATCGGTTTATACACTGCTTTTGTAATCTGTTCCTATCTTACCTGCAATATCATTCGTTTTACTGCAACTTAATACCACTGTCATCGGCATTTGACCAACTTTTGTCTACGATTTCCGAAAGTTCTTGCTCAATATCTCTCATGCGATTGCTATCAATGCTGCCTTCCTCACTGTTTCGACCTTTGCTCAGCAATTGTTGATATTGTTGCTGTTGCCGTTGGAGCTGCAATTCCTTGGTTTTTGCAGCCGCATTGGATAGCGCATCGTTCCAAAAAGTTGCATCCACCGATTTCGCGCTACTGCTCCACATTGAGGAACCCTATATTGATTATAATTAAATAATACCAGCCATTTACATACTTATATATCTAGAATATTAAATAAAAAAAGTTGTGCCAACCTTATTTATGTCCATATTAGCATTACCGTCTGCACTGGCCAACATACTTTGAAACGCATTATAGCCTAATTCGAAATTTACTCTTTCTTCGCCTGCGGAAGTGCGATCCCTCTCTAAACTGCTGTGATTGAATGACAAATCAGACAGCAGAGTATTTTGCATGCTATTAAAGTTATCAAATGCCGTTGGTCTGTGCGATTGTTGTTGTTGTTGTTGATTTTGGAGTAGACGTTGCTGATGTGACTGAATCTGCTGCTGACCATTTGCAGAGCGCTGTAATTGTTGTCGAAATTGCAATGCTAGACTGTTCTCGGCATCATTTGAAAATACTGAGTAGTTGATGTCGCCAGAGGAATTTCGCTCCAACAATGGGTGTTCCTTATTAGCCGACTGATTTCTAATATCGCCACTACTCCAGCTATCTAGATATGTATTAGTGTGGGACACTTCGGCGGCTGTACTACTATGTCCTTTGTACATTGGACAGATAGGACCAAATTTGCTGCCCATGCCAGCCGATGTTGCAGGCACCTCAAAAGTAGCGGCATCGTCATCCAATATAGAATCGGATCGAACGAAACTATCACGATCACGAAATTGTCCAGGTGACGCATTTATACTCATATTATGCCCAATAGTATTACGTTCCTGCGTACTATCGGCAAAGTTACCTCCACTAATCATATTGCTATTATGCGCATTCCAGTATGATCGTTGAGTTGGTAAATCATTACACATTAAACTATCCTTGTTGTTGTTTGCTAGGCCAGTCAATGATGGGAGAACTGTATTTGCGCCGTAATCATTCTTAAACATATACTGATCACCAATGGCAAGGCCATTGAGTGTCTTATTAAGATTCATGTTGACATTGTTGACTTTCTTACCAAATATGGATACTGTGTCACTAGATGGGTAGAGTGTTGTAGACTGATGGGACGGTGAACCTCCAATTCCGCTAGTTCCACTTAATATTTCGGCGGTAGTTGATGCATTTAGCATATGCTGATGATGCTGCTGATCCCACATGCCACTAATTTGGGCTAACCTGAGCTTGTCCGTGGGAACAATATTGCCCTTTATATCTGCGTTATTTTTTCCATTTATACCTCCACTATTTGCGGCGACGCCAGCAGCAGCAGTTGGATTACTACTAAATATAGAGGATGAACGTGTGTTCGTACCCATGATCGGTGTATTGTAGAATTCTGAAGATATTGCATTATAAATTCCCTTATTAGATAGCGGACTGCCCAAAGATGTGGTCACATTGTTATTGTTGTGATATTTCGGTGGGTTATTGGTAGGTATATTTGGAGGTAAGGGAGGATGAGTATGTGTTGTCGGAGGTTGCAATGTATTTGAAAAAGACCTTGATGAAAGTACACCGCCGCTAGAATTTCGCATTGATATTGGTGAACTATTGATGTTTGACATAACCTGAGGCATACGTGGTGGTACTCCAGTAGTCGATACGGGATAATTTAATGTTGAACCAAAAGAAGATGCATCATAACGATGTGCGGTAGGGGGTGTAAGCACTGCCTGGCCGCTATTAGGGGGAATCGGACTATGATGCAGCGAACGCATGTGATGATGTGCACCTGGTGTACCATGCGCTTGTAATGATGATGAGGCATCACCATAACTGCCGCGAGGTAATTTGTTATGCATAGATTGTAGACTATCAAATCTTAATGGTGACGTAGCCGTTGAGGCTGGTGCGGAATTATCATTTCCGGGATGCAGCATGACCATAGCGTGGGGATTGTGATGATTGTGTCCATGGTTATGTGGATGAGTATGCGACGAAAAGTCATTTTTTCCATTGTTTGCACTATTTGCACTGCCAACAGTTATCGGGCCTATTACAGAGTGGGGAACGTTGCTACCTGGCTTTGTATTTTTACGATTCTTAGCACGATATTTTTCCAATTCTTCCTCAGAATGTGCAAAAGTGCAACTTGATCCGCGTGGACAATTTCGTCTCACTGTCAAATCTCGACACAAACTTATTTTATACTTAGTATTCGTACTCGTTTGACCCGTTGTGCATTCTTGTAGCTTCCGATTGCCATGATGTTGTACGAATTCCACTAGTCCCACTACCACTTCATGCACAGATTCTAATGCTTTAGCTACATCTTGCCATGATGACGGCGGACTTTCTATTGATGGATCAATACCGGCTAAATGTTTCAGATGAATTCTTAGACCTGACAAATTAGCCGGATCGCCGGTGCGTTGTAGAGCTATAACCAATTCTTGTACGGACTGTGCAAATGAGGACGGCGTTTGAAGTTTGTCAATAATGCTTTGCATATGTGACTTATGCACTGTGTCGCCGTACAAAAGGGAAGACCATTGATCTGGCGCTATGCGTAGACCGGCTTCAGTGGCTATTTGTACGATTTGAGCATCATGTTCGCGTCGTAGAGCATCGTAAGTACGAAACTCTTCCTTCAGCTGCATAAGTGACGAATCTGCTTCACGTTTCGATACTTTAAAGCAACTGGCTCGATATAAAAGCTGTACAACATGACCAATACTAGTTTTCGAGGCTTGTGGAAAACGTGGTTCTAGCCTTTGTACCACATACATTACCAACACCTTGCGCGAATATGCCGTACCGTCTTCAAGAGCCTGCAAAACCAGCTTTAAAACTTCCTCCTGCATTGCTGGACCCAAAAATTGACAACCACGAGAGCGTACCGCCGCCCATAAATTTGAGCTTAGCTGCAAGGGGTTTTGATGTTGCAAAATTAGTTCCGTAACAGTACGCTCTCCTAATGAACGAGCAGCTCGCAAAACACGTTCCCGTCCTTCACGTTCCATCAACTGAGTATTGACTAAAGATACAAGTTTACGTTGCATCGGACGCGAAAGAGGACTTCCGAAATTTCCATTATTAGTAACAAGAGATTTTAGATATAGTGCCAGACTTTCTATACATTTGTTCGCCAGATTATAGCATTTTAAATCTTCAGAACTTAGCTGACGTACACTAGGTGGAGTATGTCTGGTGGATGTGTTCGTTTCGCCGTCATTCCCTGAGGCCCCTTCATTGCCCCCACCGCTATATCTGTTGTCGCTAATATTTCCAGCATTGTTGTTGGTACTTGTGTTGGTGTTAGTGCTAACCAACTGAAGTAGAGCATTATTTATAGGCAGATTGTCGACATCGGTTGTGATGGAAGTCTAAAAAATGTAAAAGATTTTATTTGCAAACTATATACAGAGAAAACTGTTTAAAAATAATGTACTTGATCGAAAGGACATTGTCGATTGTGTAACGTGGACAGACACTGGCGACATATGGTATGACCACATCCCAGACTTATTGGTAGACGATGATTAACAGCGAACTCATTGCAACAAATGGGACAGAAGAGGAAATCTGTCCATGAAGGCGCCTGAATCGGCATTCTGAAATTAAAACAAAAAAAAATGTTTATATTTGTTCTAATATATGAGCATAAAAATATATAAAGCATCTAGTAAATAATTATTGCAGCAAATAATTATGCACACACATTTGTATATAGTAAACTCAACAAACGTATGCATATATTACTTCAAAATGATTATTAATAATAACTTAAAGTGGCAAATTTTATTTTAACACTTTGTGAAATGATAAGGCAAATGGATATATTGATAAAAATATACAAATAACGCATAATCTATCTATTCAATTCTCACTACGCGCATAACATTTTGTTATGTTAAGGTTTATATTTAAATGTATCTTCTGAATCAACAGTTAAAAAATAATGCTTAACACTGACACATCAGCAAGTACATATTTATATATTACAATTTATATATACAATTATGTTATGTTATTTTAAATATATTTTTTATCAAATGCTTAAAAAGTAATTATACTTTTTGAAACTTTCAATTGCACATAAATATGTACACAGACATGAATGTACATATCTTTTTTCACCTCTCGTTAAAAATGTATTTTTGGACTTACGGAACTATTTTTAGAATTACCATATTAATTTCTATTGATGCCATAAATGCAAATGATTTTAAATAAACTGCATCAAATTTCAAAACGTAATTTTCAATGTATTAGCAAAATAATAGGCCTAAAAAGGAAAAAACTACATGTTGAACACTAAACTAAATGAAAGGGAAAATAGTTTACTAAATGAAAATCATTGTCAACGTCAGCAGCGACAGCCTCCATAGAAAAACCTGAGCAGCAGCAGAAGATGCGTACGCTAATGCAACTATTTATAAAATTTCAATTTGATATCTTTTTGAAATAGAAAATTTTTGAGTTTCAAATTGTGAATATGTCATAAGCGATTAAATGTAACTAATTGCAGTAGAAAGCAACAAGCATTGTATTGTATGTATATACTGATATATATGTATATGCAGGTATATATATATGTTTATATATATAAATATTTGTATGTGCATATATACATACGTTGTGTATGTACTTCGCAATGTAATAATAAAAGCAACAAATAGTTTAACGCAGCAATCAGATGGTTAATGGCAGCGCGACGACGGCATTGGTGACTGCGACTACTTTGCTTTTGTGTACGTAAGCAGTGCAAGCAGAAACAAAGAAAATTTGTTAGATGTTTTGACGATGGCAAAGAAAACAACAAATAATAGCCACGAATGCTTACATCGCGTCACCATGAACGTATGTACTTATATATGTTGTCGACAGCGCTGCCGTTATGTTGCTTCAACTACAATAAAGATCTGCAACATAAATCTGCTGTCCACAGCTATTCCACATTAAGTGAATTATCTATTTCGTCACAATTAAATTTTTTGTTGTTGTCACTGTTGAGCAAAAGCAATGAAAACGGAAACGGGAGAATAGTCACTTTGAAAATGGAATTTCCTTATAAATATGAAAAAGAAGAAGTGCGTCGGCCATCGTATAAGAGCCAACCAAATAAACTGGTATTTTTTATTTGTAATTATATAGGGCGAGTGTGAGGCCAATGCCAGCTCAAAAGTTAAAGTGAGGGTGAGGATGTAGAAGGAAGTAGAGCAGGTCGGGCAAATGTAGGAGACTTCCAAAATATCATTTGTGTTGTTATTGCTATTACAGGCCCGAGTTTGTCGCATGATCAATAATGAGATAAGTTCATCCATAGGGGAGTGGTATATGATCGATTAAAATACGTTTACTATTAGTTGAAAACATAGGAGAATATTTTCCTGGCAATAATCTCAGTTTTTCAGGGTTATATGCATTAGCTCTGTCGAAGCCTACGAGATCTCATTATGAAACTAATATGTCACTTTTTTATTTTCGTTAACTACTATGACTTTCTAAATCAAATAATCATTAATACTTCTGTTACGTTGCACTTTTTTGGAAATAACTTTTACACTTTTTGGTTTTCTTGATTTTTTTCTTATTTTAAACTTGTTACGCACCTTCAAAATGCACATATTACTTTTTCTTCTGAATTCAAGTCACAAATCGCTGCAAATTGGCAATTCAATCGCGTATGTTGACGTAGTAACTTTCACAATTTAGTTTTTCTATGTTTCAATTGAGTGCGGTTGTTAAATCAGTAGAAAATGCAAAAACTAAAATATTATAAATCTATAAACTTCCGTCAAATATAAGATTTTTTTCTTTCACTGGCAAGGAAAAGTCAAAAACGTCTAGTTAATATAGAGAAGTGCAATGTAGCGATTGGTAATTTATAAACTTCGATAAACTCATTTTGATAATATAAATATCGATAATAGTTAATAATTAGTAATAGCACGGGTAGTAATTTTTATTGTTAAATAATTATTTTATTGAATATTTCGGACACAGAGAAAAGTTTAACGATTGAACATACGTGTATGTGGTGTATGGTCACTTTGAGTCAATTAGTCGATTATTGAAAAAGTGTGGGATGTATTGAAATATTTTACAAAATTATAAGAGTTGTTAATTATTTTATTAGATAAAAATTATTTCATATGCTAATACAACCTGTTAATTACTATAAAATATATATTCTCTATATCCTTTTTTTTTAATTATTTGCAAGGACACCCCTAATATGATAGTGTGTGACGACATGCAGTTAGTTCATAGGAATAATAATCGATTAATTTCGTTTTATTTTGTTATCATCTTTATAAATAAAATTTTTTGATTAGATTGGCGCGGGGTTTATTTTCTATATTTCATTAAAATAGAAAAATAAATAAAATCAATACTATAGTCGTGGCGCGCAGTTAACAGAAAATGTCAGAAAAGGTAATGTTTAGCTTTTTTTTGTTACCGATTAATTAATATTTTTATTTTATTCGGAGTTAGAAATGGACGCTGGACGTCGATTCCAATCAATACGATTTGATGTCAGGAAATTTATATTTGATTGGATGTTGCAAAGATGGAGAAAACATCAAACAATGTGTGGACATTCCGTTAAAATCACAGGTAAAATTTATTAGAGGAAAATTTCTAAAAAATTATATTATTATTTTTGCAGAGTGTGGACACAAAACACTGCATTGTCGATGTTTCCGACAGTAACATATATATATTTGATTTATATAGTGCATTTGGAACTTTTGTGAATAACAAACGCTTGAATCCGATGATCAAGGAAAATATAAATGTGAATACTGAATTGCGCTTCGGTGAATTAAATGGCAGCTTGAAGGAAAGTATAAACATATTTTGATGCTAGTGATCACAATTATAAAGCAATTTTAATTTATAGGTAGCAGAGATTCTAAACTCCACAGATCCATTTCTGCCGCCGACTCAAAGAGCTCCAAGATCTACATTGTCTAATACGAGCACTCGCTTATTTAGTTCCCCTGACGTGTCACTTTTGGATGATACTAGAAATGATAGCTTTGATATTCCTGAAACTCAAAACATAAAACAGAGAGTTTCTCTTGAAAACTCAAGTATATTAAGTTCTTCACGAAGCCAATTATATGATGGAAAGAGTTTCTATGACGAATCTTTTATACCAGAAACGCAAAGGCCTTCTAGAACCGAACAATCGTATAAAGCGTCGGAATTGGGTTCAAATTTACAAAAATCTGGCGATTTTATTCGTATCTGCACCCAAGATTTCAATGAAAACTTGTTTGAAGAAGATGATGATGATGAGGCAATGATTCACTCTTTGGTAATACCAAATATTCAACATAAACCAGTCATATTGAGTGATATCGCACTGAATGTGAATATTAATGAAGGTAGTACAATAAGTACTTAAATCAAAATATTGACTTAAACGAAATAAACTTTTTTTAGATGCATCTAAAACTGATAAGTGTGATGGTGAAATTGATTGGGATGCTGTTTGTACTCCAGATTTTTTGGACTTAGCAGAATTGGTACAAGATAATGTGCAGTCTAATATTAATGAACCGATGCTTGAAAATGTTGGAAAAGATATTACTTCCATTGAAGGTAAAAAAAATGAAGTAATTAGTGGTGACGGATATGCGGAAGAGGTTGATATGATGGCCACACAGGTATTTGTGCCTATATCAAAGCAACCAGAGACTATAGTGATTGGTCCCATCACAACTACCGAAGAATCATCATTAAGCGGAAAAGAAAATATTGCTAACCCAGATTTCAGTTTGGAACAAACACAGGTTTTCGCACCGGTTAAAGGTAAAATAAATACATATATGTTTATTATGTATATTACTAATTGTTTTACCTTTTGCAGAAGGAAATTTTGTAGAGAAAAACTTCATTTCTAAATCAAGTGATAAAAGCGCAACATCTATAATTGAAAAGAATGTTGAGAATTCTAGTTTATTGGCACCTACACAAATATTTACAAGTAATTTGCTTGACTCAGTGAAGCAATATAGAAGCTTAGATCAAACAGAATCAAATTATAAGTCAATTAAGCCTGTGGTGAAACTAAACCCCAATTCAACCTTAACCTCAAATAAAGCTAAGGAAGCGGCGAAAAGTGATGATGATTTTACCAATGAAATGGATAAGGGTTCTGCAAAAAAAGAAGAAAAACAAGCTTGCTTCAAAAAGCCAAAGTTAAGTAAAATATATAAAGGAGGTAAAGGAAGTTTTTCTAGCATAAACAGTTCCCAATCGGAAGTTGAAGAATCGCTCTTATGTACACCTAAGTGGATTAGTGAAAAATTTGAATCACTTTCTGAGCAACGCATTAAAGCATCTATTCATAAACGTAGCTTATTTGGATCGGACTCAGAGGAAGATTCAATTGAGTTAAACAAATTTGACGCCAGAAAAGATTCTACAGACTTCGATAAATTACTGTGTAATGTTAAAGAAAAACAGTCTCTTACGAAATATGTTCCGGTAAAAAGTCCTGCGATTAAACAGGAAGATCATTCTGATGTTAAAAAAGATCGCAGTAGTAAGGAAGATGTGATTTTGGAAAAACCGGATAAGAAATTGGATGTAAAATCATCTGGAAAAAAACAAAAATGTTCACCACCGTTAACCAACAAGTCTAAGACTCATAAAAAGGTTGAACCCTCTTCAGGCGATCGAGGGAATAGTAGAAGAAACATTGACCACGTTGAAGGTGAAAAAAGTGAAGAACCTAACAAGTTAACGAAAAATATTTCACAAAAAGATGAACACAAACATGAAATAGCAGCAGAGTCTACAAGAAGAACACGACAAGTTGATCACAAACAAGAAGTAGCAAAAATTGATAAACATAAAAAGCCCATCAAAAATGTATCATCAAAAGGTGAAAAAACAAATGAAATTGAAGAGGCACCTACGAGACGAATTACGCGGCTTAAGTCCAGAACTAGTGATGTGGATTACGATAAGGCTAGCTGTTCAACAAAATTTGGACCTACACAAGCGAAATTGGCGAAAAACGAGCACACAGATGAAACAGAAATCACCAAAAGTGAGTGAAAATAAATCTAGTTTAGTAGTGTATTTTATCATAAGTATTGTTTTAGAACGAATTACTCGCTCACGATCCAAAACCGATTCTCAAGAAAGTATTACGTCGATAAAATCAACATCCTCATCGCGTAGTGCATCAAAAAAAAAAACTCGAGAAGTAGAAGAGCGGGGGAAATTTAATTCCGGTAGTAAGGATGAGAAAACTTCAGTCAATGTGTCAAATTCTATTAACGAATCGGAATCTAAAACTTTTACGAAAGATCATAACCGCAAACGTAGTGTAGGGGAATCGTCAGCTGAGGAAAGCAAAAAATTGAGGAGGGAACCATCAGTTGAGGAAAGCAAAAAATTGAGAAGCAATGTAATGAAAGGGTATACTACTAATGTTTATAACCATCTATTAATTCCTAATTTTATCTCCTAGGCACGCATCTTGCAAGTTGCAATGACTATGGTTGAACCAAAGTTATTTCAAAGCTTGGTAGAAAATTCACCAGGTTAATATTTTCATGTAAATAACTAAAACTCTTCATTATTATGATTAATTTCCAGGTAATTGGTGCGTGGCAAAAGATCCCACTGATGCGGATGTTTTAGTTATGGATAAAGGTAATCGAACACTAAAGTTTTTAATTGCAATGGCCAAAGGCATACCGATTGTGACATCAAAGTGGTTGCAGTCGTTCAACAGTACAAAAACGGTACCGCGTGGCATTACACATTTCTTTAGAGATCACGACTTTGAAAAACGGCATAAATTTTCTTTGTTTAAATCATTGGAATTAGCTAGAATTAAAAAATTATTTGAGGGATACGATTTCGTAACAACCCCTAGCATTTTGCCACGGCCATCTGAAATTAAACGTAAGTGACATAAAATTGATTAGTCATATACATACGAGTATATAACCATAACCAATTTATTTTGAAATTGTTTAGAGATTATCGAATGCGCTGGGGGTAAAGTATCTGACGAGCCGCCACCGCCGATAAATGATCAAAAAATTTATGTAATTTCAGCAATGGATGATAAAAAGTATTGGCACAAATATCGACGAACTAATAGTAATATCCGTATAACTAACAGCGAAGGAGTAATGGCGTCGGTTATGCGACAATCTACGCTGCCTCTGGATTCAAATGTTTTTGCATAAAACGTTCGCCTAATAAAATTCGAGTCGCCAATAAAACAAAATGCCGATTTCGTTAGTCCTTTTTGCACCGTATTTCTAGTGACATAAAATTGATTAGTCATATACATACAATTATATAACAACCAATTTATTTTGAAATTGTTTAGAGATTATCGATTGCGCTGGGGATAAAGTATCCGACGGGCCGCCATCGCCGAAAAACATAAAATGCGAATTTCATTACCCCTTTTTGTACCGTTAGCACCTTATTTTTATATTTTTGTATTTTTCGTTTCAATATTTTTTATAAATACAATATAAATATTAATGCGCCCAAATTAAACATTGTCGTTATGTTTAGTAATTTTTATCATATATCTGGATGGTTCAATTTCAATTTTGCCAAAATTTGCTATCCTTTTGTATCTGTTCTCCATATTAGTAAGTTAATATTAGCAGTTATATTATTATACATAGATAAAGTTTCCGCTTAATATAAAAAATATTAATTATTCTCAATAGTAATTAATTTTATTTTACGTCTACAAGAAAATTGCATTTTTGTTTATCAATAAACGATGAACGTGTTACAGGAATTTTCCTCTTCCTCGATTGTTATTATTGATTAATTTGAAGAGGATTAATTGTTTCGGTTTGCGGGGTATTTTCTTTCTTTTCTTACAAATTTATCAGTAGAAGTTGTACGAATTTAACGAATAAGTGGTAACGAAGGTGGTGGACCAGCACGATCCATCGCCGTACCTGGACCTAGTAGCACTTGCTTCTGCTGTGATTTCTGCATCTCTTCCATTTGTGCGCGTTCCGTTTCAAATATGACGGGTGCAAACAAAATAACTGAACTCGTAAAGAAGATCCAGGAAGCATTGCACGAAAATGAATAAAGACCCTTAATGCTGGTGGTTGTAAGATCGACCATTTTGCCAGTTAACCGTCGTACCGGTTCTGGGAACATTTCTGTAAGGCCCCAAAGTCGTTCGCCTAGAGTTTCATCTGGCTCCTGCAAAATAAATGTTGCATGATTTCGCTGTAATTATAAACATATTTCAAAAACTATTGTAAAAAAAATAGTTACAGCTTTACAAAAGTTGGAGCTAAAATTCAGTGTTGTCTATGTTACAACCAAATGTGTAAAGCCTCTGATAAAAGTTAATTAAATTAAACGTTTTATGTGCACGTATCTACAGTATGATTGCCTAATCAAAGTGAGGTTATGCGAATGATTGCTGTAAACATGATCGATTTTTCAGTAATTATTTGAAGGAAGCTTAAATATATACACAATTAACCAACTTACGTCGTCATAGTTTTCATCGTCTGAATTTTTAGGCGCCGTCTGTAACAAAAAAGAAGGGCACAATTATTTGTATATACAAAAATATACTGACAACATATTGGGTTCTTTAATATGGAAAAATACTGCAAATGATGGTACTCATGGTTATTTAATTTTTTTTTTCAAAGTTTCTCAAAAGCACATAAGAAATTTGAATATTTCTTTGGGTTCTTTGCGTCATTGTTTTCAATTGCTTACAGCCTTTTCAATTGCCCGTCTTTCAGGTGTTTCGTCCTTGCTTCCGCCCAATGATGACATTCCGCTATCCTTTTCGATGATTTCGATATCAGGATCAGAATCCATTAAATCTTCAATCTTTACGGAATCCACTTTTGCTATTTTTTTACACGACGTAGTCCTACGTCGTTCTCCGGTATGTGTGGAAGAATGGATGTATAATTGGAAATATGCTTTATTGTATTTTAAAAGCACAGCTTGATTTATTCTCAAGTGACAGTCACTTCTAATCAATTAGGTAAAATTCTTTCGTAAAGCACGGAAATATTGAGATAATATAAAATAACCGAAACAAAAACACGAGGATCACCCGGATAATAAATTTATTCAGTTTGAGTTTATATTCGCATGAATATACAATTGCGTTTTAGTTGAAAATATAATCGATTTTCCTAGTCCGCCATATATGTACACAACTGATGAAAAACCACACGCACTTTCTTTACTTTCGGCTTAAAAAAAGAAATTTTCCGCGGAGGAAGAAAATGTAGTACATGCGATATAAATGTCAAAGTGTGGTTGTTACGTCAGAACGAAAGGTATGTTCAGTAAACGGAATAGAATGAATTGTGGTTGTTTCAGTCAGCGGTAAATATTGGTATTAACATAAACGTTGTATTAGTAATAGTAAGATATTTATTATAATTATAATATTATTTATATATGTATGTATATTCTTGCTTTCTTGACTGTACGTTTATTAATTTAAGTTGATTGTAGCATGTAGTGTTTTTCTTCCTTAGATATTTCATAAGTTTTTTGCATAATTTACCTCTTCTGCAATATATTAATTTTTATAAACTTACCGATTCTCCAGCCGGAAAACGTTTTTCTGGTTCCTTGTATCTTTCAATTTTTTCCAAATGTTCATCTTCAATATCAAATTCCTTTTTTTCAGATTTTTCGTCGGACATTGCTGACTTTAGTTGTTATTTTTGTATTTAACTTACACTTAAAACACGGCGTTGCAATTTTATTTGCAGTTTTTATACAAATATTAATGGATTAATATATTTTGCGAATTTTTGTTTGTCTGCAAACAACGCACTCGAAAATATATATTTAACAGAAATTAAAAGCAAATTTTGATGTCTATTTCACATAATACGACGTTTCCGAACATGAAATATTTTGATTGCCTATTCATTTTTCTTAAATATTGTAATATTGCAGAGTTCAGAACAAAGTAGCTTGATACATTCGATATTTAAATCTTTAAATTCGTTTTTGTATATATAGAATAAAAACGACTTTATGTGCACAGGTCACTAAAGTGTTTATGTATAACCCAAATTCTCTTTTTAGTTTCTTTTGTGCCACTATGTCTAAGAGTTTACCTCCGTTTAATTCGGTATGTCTCTTGATATTTGTAGTCTCGAAAAGTTCTACACAGAATAATTTTGTTGTCCTAACGATTCAGATACTCTAAAAACTGCGTCATGCAATGAAATATCTCCAATATCACCGTATCCCTGAAGTAGCTGTATTTGGTTAATACTTTGCTTGTTAATTTTGCGCTTTGTTATCTTGTCTAAAAATTTAAATGAAAATGCAACAACAAAGTAGCGAGCCGTTATACCAAAGAGTATGCAAAGTGGTATAACAGTTTATGTTTTACATATTTTAGAATAGTTTTACTATTGTAAATAACTCAATAGATAATTTGCTACCAAACAATAAATATTTTTTTATTGATTAAAAAAACTAGTCCTTAAATAGAAGCTTCTAAATATATTTTTTGATGCGGAAGAAATTTCTCAACCAAAGAAAGAAGTGCAACACTTTTGCGAATGTGTCAGAGAACATGTTGACAAAAGCTTTGACCGCAAGTGTTGTCAATTTGATGGAACAACTGGTATGTTTGTTCGGTAATTAATGTATAAAGTATTCGGGTTGTAGCGATACGTCCCAACCCAGGATCTTGTATCGGCAAACCGATAATAAAGGTGCGTGATACAGCTGAGCTGTCATGAGATATCTGTCGGAGAGATGGGTGTCGTGTGTGCTCACTTCGAACAACAAGCACAATCACAGACCTTTTTAATGCAGTGTTTGAGCGTGTTATGGGACTTCCAAAGTGTGATCTACATCGACTACATGGAGAAAGGCAGCGCACTACCTAGCCGAATTATTGGGTAGATTCGATACCGAATTGCAAAAAAGACACGGACTGACAAGAAAGTTTTGAAAAAAGCGTTCTTCTACCATGACAACACTTCGGCTCACACCGTCGCCGATCCACGACAAAATTAGTCTAATCTGTTGAGCTATCCACCGCATTTTTAGGTTTTGCTTCATGTAACTTGATTATACCCTCGAACTAGTTTTTGAGATATCGATCAAAAATTTTGCACACGGCTCTTTCTCTCCAATCAGTTTTATCGTAACTGTCGATGTCGGATGTCTATAGCATATAACTATCACGCAATCTGATCGATCGGTATAAAGTTCCTGTATGGAAATCTTGTTTACTAGACTGAAAACCTTTACGAAATTTGTATTATAGCTTCAGTGCAACTTAAGTTAAAGTTTTTTCTTATTTTGTTTTCGAAGAGTAATTGACGCAATCACTTGCTGGAGATAAATTTGAGTCGAATGAGAAGGTTAATAGGGGACTAACTCGCGAAATAAATTGTAATTTTTCGAAAATTTTAATTTTTCTTTTGTAGATTAAGTACTAGTACTTAACGGTAAACTAAGAGTTAAATGGAAAAACATTCTAATAAATAGAATTTTCTGTTGTTTTAAATCAACAATTAATTTTATTTCATTTTTATTTATTCAAATAACTTTACAAAATATTATTTCCTTTTTTAATTTCTATGCCATTTCCAAATACATAACATATTTGTATGAATGTTTGTTAGGATTAAGTATGTTTATGCTTGTATATTTATTTGTATGCATTTAATTAAATTTGTTTTGAACAAAGCTAAGTAATAATGCACATATTAGATAACATACGAATACGTATGTATACATATAACTTGCATGTATGTACACATTGTCATATACTAGTACATACATACACAAATGTGAGTTATAGAGCTTTAGAAAACGGATAATATAGTAGTAGTAAGAGTTTTAAGATTTAATTCAAGTGTTTTTTTTGTGATAAGACAATATGGAAATTTTCATTTTGTTTAGTTTTTCTTGTAAATATTAATTAATTTTGCTGCAAATTTCATTATATTTTGTTGAATATATAATATATTTCTTATTTATTTTAGCATGCATCGGTACATAAATCATCATCTGAACAGTTTTTTATAGGTATTTCCAATACACATTTTTAAGCTTTCACATAACTGAATTTTGACTTAATTATTGCAGCACCCTTAACACAAAAATTTATCACTCTCGCGCTCAGACTTATACGAATTATTTTTGTTTTTGTATATTTCTTACGAATCTGTAAAATTCAATGCCATTAATTTAGGTTTTATAATTGAATAATTTCTTATATTTCTTTATAATTAAATTGTTAAATTTTAATTTAATTTCATATTCATAATTTTATAACAAAATGCCAAAATCTTAATTTCATTAAAAACGCTTCTATTTACCTTCACATTACTGTACTTTTTTATTACAATTAAAAATTAACTTAAACTAACTATATGTATATGTGTTTATCATTGTTTGTGTGTTTTTTATATGTGAAACTATAAATAAATATAATGATTTAAATTAACAACCTATTAACTAAAATTTTAATCTTTTGTGACTTTCATGGCTCCCTTCCAACAGCCACACATATACCACCTATGGATGTATGTTTGTTTGCTGTTGCACCATCCTCTCGTTGCTGCTTAGCTTGCTACTGGACCGGCAGATAAACGCACAAACTTACAAAATATGTTTTTATTTAGTTTTGTTTTTTCGTTTTTGCCAAGAAGAGTTCGTTATTAAACATATTTCTGCTTAGTACTTATGTAACTTGAGTATGCTGCACTGTTGTAGATATATATATGTGTATATAAAGTTTTGCATATATTTGTTGTTGACATTGTAGTTTGCTTGCTGTTGCTTCGCTAATATTTGTAAGTATGCTCAGTTTTATGGGTGTTCACTTTAAAGTAAAAGTCTCGTAAATTCTGCAAGAAAAGAGAATAAAAACCGATATTTAAAAATGTATAGATATATAAAAAGCAATATGGCAAAATATCTTGGAAAATTTTAAACACACAATTTTGAGTGAAAAAACTCGAATTTAACTACTTGTATAAATTCTTCCATTTTCTGTGGATCAACGTACATATATAAATGGATATTTCCTTTATAAGGTTTTGGATTATACAGTATATACCCAAGGAATTAAAATTAATTGATTTAACACTATAATTAATTTTTTATATTTTGTGATCCCATACACGTTAATTAAAAATAATTTCAAAATTATAATTCCAAAAATCAGATTGAAAAATTAAAACAAAATATTTTAATTCCGAAAAACCGATAAATATGTCAATCCCCAAAATCCCAGCAATACTTGCTTAAGCAAATTTAAAAAACAATAATTGATTGAATTTAAAATGAAATATCTTAAAATATTATACTTGTCATCTTTGTAAAAATAAAACTTTTTTTAATAAAATAATTCACTTTTTGATTTTAAAAATATATTTTTTTATTTGTTATTCCGATTATGACTTTTTAAATTTTGATTCTGGAATTAAAACTTAAATTTCCAATTCTTAATTTCGATTTTCGGATTAAACAATTAAATATCCAGTTTTTAATTCCGATTTTGGATTAAAAATTAATGTTCAATTCATATAGATTACGACAGTTCGTCATCCGTCACTGTATTGGAGTTCGTTTGATGGAAAAAGAAGGGAATTACTTTCCGTTTAGTGTCACAATATTGTCATTCTTGGTATATTATACAAATGTCGCACAAAAATATTCTAAATTCTAAGAGTGAACTTCTTAAGTTGAATTTAGACAAAATATCTACAGCGATCAGTTAGAAACAAACATAAATCGTCTCTTGGGAGGTAATTGCAGACTTCATCAATTCAAATTTTGTATATCCCATGTGCAGTGCGTTCAAAAAATAACATTTTCGTTTCCCAATTAGCCTATTATATTATTCTGACATCTTAGGTAGTAGGAGTTTGATTACAGTTGGTGCCAGATCTCGGAAATACATATGTAGGTATATCTAATCCCATTTTAAACAAAATTTTTTTAGCTTCTCTTAGACTGAGCAGTGGTTTCTTCTCAAAAAGCGTTGTCTTCACTATTAGATGTCAGGTAATCTATGTTTCCAGATTCTCAATAATGATCAGACCTCTTCACAAATGTGTAACGCGTATTTAAATACTTTGCAGTTTTTTCATACTCTTACAAAATGTTGCTACATAGTATAATATAACAGTTTGGTTGGTTTTTGTAACACATTTACTTGGCAAAAAAGTAAGGATGAGTTCGTAGATATGAAATCATATCTCTCGGGACCTGCTCTACCGACATCAGCCAAATTTGGTATATAACATTACTCGCACATTCCTACTTGTATGTAACAGTATGAAAATCGGACTTCAATCACGCCTACTTCCCACATAACACAATTTATAATTCCATCTGATTCTTTCAAATTCCAGTATACAAGTAAAGTACCAATTATGTCAATATAGCGGGATAAAACTTTACACAAAAAATGTGTGCCACTTTATGACCAAAAATTGTCCAAATCGAACCAAAACTGCCCGTAGGTTCCGAATATGTGGAGCCCAATGCCTCTATGTTGACTTTTTACCGAAAATATCGGTCAATGCGTGAGATATATAATTGAAATTCAGAGAGGATCCTTTCCTGATAATAGTATGTCTGAATGTTAAAAATGGGTTGAAGCGGGTCAATACTTCCCTTAGCCCTCATATACCTAATATAAAGAATTTTGAACTTCCGGGACTTTATACCGCATACATATGAGTATGTATATCGATCAATATGTAAACTATCTCAATGAAAATGAGAGAGCTTATTTTACTCATAACAGTGTATTTTTCTGTCTAAAATAGATAAAATTGGGCGAAAACTTGATCTAGCCCCTATATAACTAATATCAGGATTTTCGAACTTGGAGCATTTTATTAGCCTGTGACATGTTAATAGTATGTGATATTGGCATATATTGATAAAAATCGGGTCAATACTACCCCCAACTCCCATATACTACTTATAATGATTTTCGTTACTCTAATAAGTTTTATGCCGAATATGTCGGTCAGTGAATATTGTTTTTTTATAAAATGTTGCAAAATATGTTCTCAAGTTTATCCGAGCACTGTCAAAATCAATGCACTCAGTTCGTCCCTTTCTCTATTCCCAACATACCCCATAAAATGATTTCCACCTGTATTTAAACCGTTCTGGTTGGTCAAAATGTGTGATATTTTAATGAAATTAAATGGACAAGTTTTCATAATAATTATGTGGTTTAGCACTGAATTAGAATGGAATTGGTCTAGACCGCATATACCTTATACAATGAATTGTGCATATCGAATAAATTAACGATAAATCAAGGGTTGGAATGGTTTCGTCTGTCGGAAGGAAAAATAAATTACAATAGGGTAGTATTTTTCGGATTGAACAGATTTGAGAGCACCAAGAAATGAATTGTTAAATTCGTGTGATTTCATTAAACGATAAATCACTTCTCGGTTCCTTAATATTGGGAAGTGATAATAAAAAGCGTTAACTAGAACCCAATTTTAAAGACAATACAAACCAAAGAAAAGATGCCAGTCAAATAGAGTATTATAAAATGTGTATTACCCCCTAAAGAGAGTTACACAAATGTTCGTTCGCATATACATATGTATATCTAGATTTACACGAACATGTTTTTAAGGTTAGTAACCTCTTTAGCGCCACCCGCCAACGTTTGACAACATGCAGCACTCAAAGCAAGGGTCACATGTCATTCAACCGTTCATCAAAAGGCCGCGTTTAAATGTTTTACTTCACATCATTAGTGTTTTGCTGATTTATGTAGATGTGTACATATGTATGTATGTTTGTGTTATTGCCGCTGTTTGTTTTAAGAATTCCCTTCAACACATTACCGTCATATGTACGTAAGCATCTGCTCACAGGCTCTTATTTATAGAAAACAAGTGTCGGTGCCGTCTGTGTACTGTTATGTTTGTACATATTTACCAAAGACACTGGTCGGTTCATTAACTTCATAATTTGTGCAATAATAATTAGCACAAATTATCTCGCTTTGGTTTTTGCATACGCAAAAATCTTATAAATAGAAAGGAGTGGAGCGAACTGAGAGCGTGAAAGTGAAAGCTCATTTAGAGATGTTGAATATACTATTTATTGAAACGAAATTTTATTTTAAAGTATTTTTATGCTATACAAATGGATATTATATAACAAAAAAGTATTTCTTGTAACTGTATTTCTGTGCCAGGATCATCATATTTATTTATATAAATCTATTTGAATCTTTAGTACGATATTTACTATCCGTAGTACATTTTCATAGCCGACTACTGTTGAAGTAGTTTTGTTTTGACCGAATGTGCAAGCTTAAACTCTTCTCCTTCAATATCAGCCATAACAAAGGTGTTCAATGAGTTTTTACGTGGTCGCACGCCGGGTATTGATGAGCCACGCCCAGGTACCTCGAGCATGGCTACTAGAAAGGATAATGTTACAAAAGTTCACGATCTCGTATTGGCAGACCGTCGATAGATATACTTAAAAAGGTAAGGGCCATATCCTGCATGAAATGAGAAAGCTTTCGGCGCGATGGATGATCGTAAGATGATTTCATAACAGTTTTGAAGTCGTTCAACCGCAATTTGAAGAAGTTGCTGCGAAGTTTCGAGACTGTCAATGAAGTATGGAACGACTAGTATTTCCCAGAGTTCAAAATTGTCATATCGACTCACACCTCTGATGTTGCCATAGGCGAATTGGGCGAACCCTACGTATTATCCAGATTTGTCGAAGTGCGACTTTTTTGCATTCAAAGTTGAAAAAGTCTCTCGTCAAGCAGAAACTTGAGCCGAATGTTACTGTGCTATGTTTTGAAATAAATCGCCAATTTTTGTAACCTCGTATGCTCAGATTTTGATACCAGTTGTTTAAATAGTTTAAAGTTAGTTGTCGCAAAATAGGCCTGGTTAACATTTTCAAGTTACTAGCAGTCTACTTAGATATTAGAAGTAACTTACAGTTTGATAATATTATAAAAAGAACACGTCATTTATATGTATTTTTATAACGAATTTCTTTTTTATGTATTCAGCAGGTATACTCGTCAGTCTTTGATATCCACACTAATAAATAAATATGCATAAGTATTAATAAAATAATTTATTTTATGCTAAGCCCCAACGTGGCAAGGGTGGTAAAAATAACGCCAATTTGTTTTAACAACTTTTTAGATTAAGATTTTAAAAGTTATTCCATAAACACATTTCATATATATATAATATATTATATATACATATGAGCAAAAATACCCACAAACGCATATACATATACCATAACTATGTTACTTTATGTATTTTGCTGCTATTTTCTGCATATGAGCACGTTTGTTTCAGTGTGTTCGTGTTGTAGCAATGTGCGTCATAGTCGACCTTTGTCGTGCTTAGGTTAATGCACTGTAAAATTACTGCATGCAACTTTTCTTGCAAAATGTTCCGTTTTACACACATATACAAGTGAAACTCTGTCTTAGGTATCGCATTCTTTGTATGCTTAATTGACCTACCTTCGTAATTAATTCGGCCATCTTGATCCAAATCGGCTATGGCCAATAATTGTGTGAGTTGCGTTTCTGAGAGGGGTTCTCCAATCATTTCCATGGCGGTTTGCAGCTCGTCGCGCGTAATGAAGCCATTGCCGTCACGATCAAATACCCTGTGAAACAAAATGAAAATCGAGTTAATTTTTATTTAAGTTAAAACTGTATTTACCTATATGAGTATATATAGCGATCGAACTATCAGCTTATATTAAGATGACATATTATACATTCTCAATACTTTTATCTGGAAGGATCTGAATGGTATCTAAAGTTCACTATAGGGTTAGAATCTATGACATAGAGGTTGCTGAAAGACACTTGAATAAAATAAACGAAACTGTAACATTCGGCTCAACTGGAAGTAGCTCCAGTTACAAGCTTTGATCAGAGACTAAATTCTGGTGCAATGGGGACCTCTTGGAGTTCGTTCCAATCTGCTTATTGCGGTCGGCCCTTTGGGGAGTATCGTGATGACTGTAGTTTAAGCCCAAATGCAGTGAGATCTTACCAGAGTACGGCAGAGACTTTGGATGGGCCTCGAACCCGACCAAGGGGGAAAAGGTGTACATTCCACGTTATCATTGTTCAAACCATGCCAATTTCGCTCGAAAAAGTCGCGTATATTCTTAGATATGAAATTGTACTCAAAGGGTGGTACCAATTCATAAATAAATTCTGTAGTTTGGCTCTCGAGGTATAATTTCTCCTACTTCTTTATCATAACATAAATGAGAAGCAATGTTTCTACAAAGTTTTGCTGTTATCGCACTTTTCTTGGTTTTTTTATATGCTTAGTAATTGTAAATTTTACTTCTTTCGTTCAATTTCAATTTTATTGAATGCATATATAGGTGTAAATATGTATGTATATGTAGTAAAAATTCTATAATTAACAGTTCGAAAAATTATGAATTAAGGTACTGCTTCAACTACACAAACGTGTCAAGTCACCGGAAAATGCTATTTATTGCCAAACCATAGCTAAACAAAAGAAACGGCAATATCTCTGCCTACAATACATTACACTGGCTTACTTATAGTGTGTTTTAAGCCGGTTGTTTTGTCTAGAATTGCATAGCGGCGATAAAACTGAAAAATTTCTGGTCCTGACAGCACAGGAGAGAAATAACGTCGGTCAGAAAACATTTGTGGCTTAGTGCCGCGCATTTATGGTGACTATATAAAGGTCAACTATAATAAATTCAAACTAAGGTAGTTCTAATTGACTATGTTTGCGTGTATATATACAATATGTATATACCATATGTATACAATATTATACGTGTATATTCTGTTTTGTTTAACTGTACATTAAAGCGAGCGCTTTAACATCGCCAGTTCTAGCAGAAGCCATACGCCTGATAACATACAAGCCTTTAGTCCTTATTTATTATTGACCCTCCTTTAATTAATACTAAGCTCGGACGAGATTCTAAGAATCGGTATAAAAGCGAGATGATAGAGTTTGTTGCATTTATGTACTCGTATTCCCTCAACTCACCTAAATGCGGCGATTAAATCCTCGGTGACATCATCGTTCTCTTCTGGTTTGCTTGCATTTTCTTCTTGCTGTTGTTGTTGCTGCTGCTGTTCATCACGTAACGCTTGAATGCGTCCCACCCATTGCAGGAATTCAGCCTCGTTGATTAACCCATTTCCTGCAAATGATATTAAACAAGATGAAATTGATAAGAATTAATTAAATATCACTTTGCAGGGGTAATTAAAGAAATATGCATTTATCTATGAAATATTTGCTTTTCGTTAAGTGTATAAAAAAATTTCAAGTTGGCTCTATTAAAAATTCTGTGGCGCTCTTAAGAATAAAATAAATATACAGTATAAGTTAGAAATATTTTCTACATAAAAATGTGAAACAATGAGCCTCAATAGCATAAGGTAGTATTATACCAAGATTCTAAGTTACCAAACCATTATTTACAGTAGCGAACTGCGAAATAATTTCGATTTTCGATTTTTTGAGCACTTTGAAAAAAAAAATGTAACAGTTTACATTGTAGCTCGTGGTCGCCTTCAAAATAGTCTCCTTCCGCAACGTTTTGCACGTTCAAGAAGGTTATCGAATGACTTTTTTAGGTCATTTGTCGGTATAGCGTTGAGGATGGCGGTCGTCGCCTTTTGGATGGCATCAACGTCAGCATAGCGGTTTCCTTTCATGGCCAAATGTAGTTTTCCGAACAAATAAAAATCGCAGGGTGCCATATCAGGCGAACAAAAAGTTTGGGTCCTTTTTGGCCTCTTTAATGATGACTTTTGAATGTTGAATTCTGAGGTCTTTTTCGTGGTGTTTCAAAGTGTGCGGGACAAATCGAGCACAAACCTTTCTGAGGCCCAAATTTTCTGTCAAAATACTATAAATCGACGCTGCGGATATTGATAATTCCGATTCCATATATTTAAGCGATGATTTCGGCTCTTTTTTAATGAATTCACGCACAATTTCCGTGTTTTTTTCGTTCATAACATCTTTTGGCCGGCCCGAACGTTCGTCGTCTTCCAAGTCCTCCCGTCCCTCTTGATAACGTTTAAACCACTCGTGAATACGGCTACGGGATAGACAATCATCGCCATAAACTTGTTTCATCATTTGATGAGTTTTGGTAAAAGTTTTTTTATGTTGGGTCTTTGTTCGAAGCTCATTTTCCGACCGACACTACAAATGTAATGTCACATGTAGCGCGATATCTCAGCTGTTATACAAGTCAGCTGTTATATAAATTTTATATTTACTCCGCCTTATTTTGTTTTTGTTGATTATAATTAGGAAGAATCGGGAGTTATGTTTGCCCTAGCCGCGATTTTCCAATATCTTTGCTGAGCTAATTTAAAACAGTACAGTTTTATACTTTACGATATTTTGAACACAACTTACATATTGGTCAGTATGTATTGCAGTTTTTAAAAGATTATTGGTTTTTAGTAGATTGTGGGATATTGTGGAAATATTTGTTACGCCTTGTTTTTTTTAGAAAAAACTTCATTTATTTCATTTCAGTTACTGAAATTCGCGATAAACAATTTGATAACGACAGAATTTCATACAATCTTTACGAAAATTATTGTTTTTAGATTCTAAAAGCTTTTAGTATAAAGTTTTGTCATGTTCAGATTTTTTTCACTTAAACGTATCTTAATGAAGGTCTCTCTAGCATTCTCTGCGGATCGGCGGATAAAATCATTCACAAAAATCTTCATTAATAATTTATAATTTTCACTATGTTACTGTCTCTATAACCCTATCATACTATAAAAGTTTCGATACTATGTTATAGTTCATATATTCTTTAAATAAAAACCTTCATTTTTACGCTTAATCCCAAATATAGCGCTTATAGAACAATACATACATAAATACTCGTAGTTTCTAGTTTCTTAAATAACTCGTTGACAACCACGCATATTTGCGGCTATTAAAAACACTTTTCCCTCACAAGTTTTTCCTCATCTTTTAGTCATTAAATCATTATGAAACTGAGCACTCACTCAACGTCAGAGCAAGAGCGCTGTTGTTTCTGAATACTGTGAGACCAGCTTAGCTGTAATGGGTACAATTACAACAACAGGAACTAAATATAATGACAAAACGATAGTGTGACAGCACAAAAAGTAGTTCATACAATGTATATATATATATATACTATGTTTGTGTATGTATATAAAGATATACATAAATCCATAGCAATAATACAAGGTGCGTTCCAAAGTAAACAGGACTTTTAAAAAAAAGACAGAACAAAATTTTTAATCGGTGCCGGTGCAAGCCTTTTGAATGGCCTCCACGTCTGCATAACGCTTTCCTTTCATCGGCAAATGCATTTTTCCGAAAAGGTAGAAGTCGCACGGTGCCATATCAGGTGAATATTTGGTCAAATAATCGGCCACAAGCGTCGATCGATGAGACGGCGCATTATCGTGCAACAAACGCCAACTTCCATCTTCGCGATATTCGGGCCGAACACGTCGAATACGGCGCACCAAACGCTTCAAAACTCCAAGGTAGAATACCGCATTAACGTTTTGGCCGGGTGGAACAAATTCTTTGTGGACAATATTCTTGGACTCATAAAAACAAATCAGCAGTGTCTTCACTTTTGACTTCTCCAGGCGCGATTTTTTGGGTTTCGGCTAATTTCTCATTTATGTCCTTACGACCACTTTGAAAACATTGAAACCACTCGTGCACTCTGCTACGGGATAGGCAATCATCGCCATAAACTTTTTTCATCAATTGAAACGTTTCGGTAAAAGTTTTACCAATGTTAAAACAAAATTTAATGTTGGCTCTTTGTTCGAAGCTCATTTTGGCACCGATGACAAAAACATACTGACACTTAAAACGCAATAACTTCACTTCCAATAGATGAAATGTCATGCAATTTGTAATGGAAGTCGATAAAGGATAGCAGATTCTAACGCACTAGTCGACATATAGATGGCGTCACTAGAGTTTACGTTGTTACTTTTGTCCTGTTTACTTTGGAACGCACCGTGTATACACAAATAGCTGTGTCATATACGAGTATGTAGGCGAGAGTATACTCGCGTGAGTCTCTTCTATGTATAAAAAAAAAAAGTATAGATATGAAAGCAAAAAGGGGATAAGGAAGAAAAACCATTTGCATATTGCCCTATAAAATCAAAGAAATACGGGCTTACAAATATGCTTGGATATTAGTACTTTGCGTATGTATGTATGTATATAAAAATACCAGGGTTTTAGCGGATTGAATAGCAAATTTAAATACTTAAGTACATACATATGTAAGTGCAAAACACATGGATTTCTTTTGGTTTCTATTCACCTTGAGACAATGAAAGCGAATTTTTATATCCTGAACAGGGTTTGCCACAAAGTTTGTGACACCCAGAAGAAAACGTCGGCGACCCGATTAAATATTTGCATACTCGTATATGTATATATAATTAATCAGCGTGACGAGTTAAGTCGGTCCAGCCATACCCGTCGGTCTGTCCGCATATATTCGCACAAAATCGTAATATGAATTTGAAACCAAAAATAACAGTTTAGGGCTTGACGAACACCAAGAAACCCAACAAAATTTTCTGGATCCAGATAGAATATTCAGAAACGAATCAATATCGTTCAATGGTACGAAAAAATTGTCCAAAAATTGAGAATATGATAAAGTGAATTATAAAATAACACTCAAGGGTGAGCAATAAATATCCATCCGTTCACACACTACAGTTCATTAACCGGAACGACCCCGGATTTATACTAGACCACGGGCCACCAGCTCCACAACATTCCCAGTTGGAAAAGATGGATAGGACTCAAATGCTAGCGATGCAAAGATAAAAATTTGAAGAAACAAGACTCAGATCGCTGCCCAGAAAGCTATTTTAAACTTGAGAGATTTGAAATGTATCCCATAATTAGCAAACCGGTAGTACACAATGTTCATAGAATACAAGGTTACGACAACCGTTGACGTCATTGAACCAACATCGTCATAATTACAGTGAGAAGAACTTAAAAATAATTCATTAATTCATTTTTGTAATCGAATTTTTGGTTCTAAGTCACTGAAAGGATACGTATACCCATTTGAGCATAATATATAATAATTTCTTTTTTCTAATGGTAAGGTGATCTTCTCTATATTACCAACGATTTCTTCGGCACATACAAGTACTGTAGAGGTTCAGTTGATAATCTTCGTTTTTTCAGAAACCTTGACACTTATTGATAGCACAATTTACTGTATTTACTCTTAATAAACATATAGGTACTTCTGTGAAATCCTTATATAATGCCATAAATATATTTTTATCCACTTTGTACACTGTATTAGTTTACACCTCCTTTAGTTCGGCAAAGTTGTGCACAATTTTTTATTTAAAATTTTTCATAACATTCAATCACGAATTTTGTCCATATTTTTGTTTACAACATCCCACTGTACATTCTCGTTTCGAAATTTCAAAAGCGGAATTTACAAAAATTAAAGATCTACCGCTTCAGAAACGCACTTGATCTTATAAAGAAAATGTGTACAAACCGAATTTACCAATTTTATAACGGATTTGACTTATTTAAACATGACATTCATAACATCTCTCATACAAACTATTATTAATTGCTTACAAGTCTTTGTCAGCTGTTTCAAGGATAAAAGAACAAAAACGTACTAAAAAACACTATGGTAACCAACAATTTTGAATCCACTTCGTCATCAAACATATGATTTCAAAGTTGACGTAACCTTTTCTCTATAAACATTGGGTAGGACTCTAACACTTGTAGAAGTGACTCGCAATCTGTCGGATAACATCAAGCTTGTCATTTTTTACTTTCGTTCTAATTCGTTTTTAAATACATGTGCAGTAGACCTCGTAAGCAAACAGTTATTTGTTAAACGCGTATAAGCAAGTAGGTGTGTTGCAACTTGTTAGAAATGCTTATGTAATAGGTGCAGCAGCAACAATGGAGCTGCTGCTGACGACGTCGTTATGTTGGCGATATTATGAAATTTAGGAAAGAGTGAAGGTCTGCAGGTGGCTTAGTAGCAGTAAAGCTGTTTGTAACATATAAGTACCGGAAATGGCAAAAGAGCTTGGTTGAATTCCATACAACGCTTAGATGCAGCTATTGTTGTAGGCGGCATAGAAACAT